TTGAAGTTTCAAGTACATTATCTGACAAATATGGCAAGCGAATGCAAATATTGCTGAGAAATCATCAAAACATTATAATACGACAACAAGGGCTTCTGTAGTCGCGGAATAGTGACCGCGAAATGGGGTAGGTACCACGTTCTGGGACCACATTTGGAAGCTTCTTCCGGTGCCAGCTTGCGACCGTATCCCTTTGCTATGTAGTCATCCATTGTTGCGCGGTATTTATTTTCAAGGCTAGGGTCTCTGCGGAATTTCGCTTCAAGCTCTGTAATCTCATTTCCGCCTGCTTTCGGTTGTTCGGCAACTGAACATCATCTCTCTGCCACAGCAACCCCGTCTCATAGTGTCCGTCAGTAAGCTTTGTTGTCTTCTCAAGAATATATTCCGCTCGCATGTCCTCTCTGGACAGGTTGTGGTTTCGGTGTTTTGCCACTGCTCCCTTCTCAATTTCAGGCTTACATGCACGCCTCGTTCCAAATTCTTCTACCTTCCAAAAGTTCTCGACCTGATCGTGTAATTTTCTGTCGCACGTGATGAAGTTTACACTAAGTTCCCTTTGATTTAGTGAGTTCAGAATCGTTCCTGTTATGACCCAACCCAATGGGCCTCGTTGAGCCTGCAATTGGCTATCAGGTTTGTTTGACTTTCGCACCTCGAAGACTTCATGTGCATCACTGACATCCTTTCCAATCAGTACTGAGACCTTTTTAATGTTCACTGTAGGTATTTCAATGTCCACCAAGTGAGGGTGTGACCTTCTATCAACATCTTCAGGAAGACACCTCTCAGCAATGTTGAATTTCTCTGATATCAGTCCCTCTTCAACAGTGATAACTTCTCCTTCTCCACTGGCAGATTGCAGCTTAAATTCTACTACTTCCAACTCTTCATCTTCTTGCTGTAAAAGTGTACTGACAGATACCACTTCCTTTCTACCTTGTAGGCCTAGTTCCTTAGCAACATCAAGGCTGATCATGGTTCCACGGGAAGCATTGTCCAATAATCCATAAGTGGTAACAAACTTTCCGTCTGGTGATGTGATTTTCATTGGTATCACATGAAGAAGCACGGTCTTCCTCGTGGTTGGCTCAGTCACAGTCGCATACTGCACTGTGCTACTGGGCTCAGTGGGTCTTAGGTCATTCCTAGGACTTTCCTGATGCGGGTTAGGTGCTATCGGTTTCTGTTCTTTGACGTAAACTTGGTTAGCTCTTTCAGTCTCGAATCTCCTTGGAGGGTTGTGCAGCAACTCGTGGTGCCGTTTGTCGCTTCCACATCGGCAGAAATTTTGCGATTCACACTTTCCTCGGTGATGTCCAAATCTTAAACAGATATGACACAACCTATGTTTCACAATGTCCCAGCGAACTTGCAAATCTTTCTTTTCAAATTCAACACACGAAGTAAGTTCATGAGATCCCGAACAACATAAGCATCCCTGTACGCTTGGCGTGCTGCCACTTCGCTCATCAATTGCCTCCTCGCCTCCGCCAGTGTTGTTTGCTTTAACATCTGTGGCGAAATATGACATCTGTCTTGTTTCCTGAGGACTTGCTCCTCTGTTATGTTCTTTAAACGGCTGTTTTTCTTTCGCTTTCATTTCAGCAGTCGGGATGACAGTGACACAACCTGCATAGCTAGGGTCATTCTTGATAGCAGCTTGCCGTCTAACAAATTGGGCGAGATCCTTCAACTTTGGGACCAGTCCCTTTTCCCTGATAGAGTATGACACATCAGCCCATTTATTGATGATGTAATCAGGTAATCGTGCTACAGTCATCTTCATATTAGAAGTGGTACTTGCCTCTCGCTCATAGTCTCCTTCCAGTCTTTTCGTTGCGCATTGAAGTTGTTCTGCAAAATTACGCAGGCCCTTGAAATCTCTGTTTCCCAACTTCGGTCCCAATGTTAGCATTTCAATACATGCGGCAGCAACTGCAGCTGGTTGACCATATCGTTCCTCCAACATTGCTACAATGTCATCATACGAACATCCTGCTGTTCTTTCAACAACTTCATATGCTTCACCAGTCACAAACTTAGGAAGGAATTCGATTATTTGAGCATCGGATAACAGCCCATCTTCTAAGTTATTTCGAATTCTTTTCCTGAAAATTGGGAAGTCAGCTGCATTTCCACTAAACTTCACAGGTTGCATAGCTTGAAGTGTAGTTACCCTTAACAGAACTGCCTGGCAATTTCCATGAGTGTCGGTCAGTTTACTTTCGTCTAGCTGTCCCTTATAGTCACTGTCATTGCCACTGGTTGTGACAATGTTTTCTTTTAGTCGACCTTTGTTGGGTTGGTTTTCTCCCAAGAGGGCTGGGATTTTCTTGACTACTTTTCATAAAGTGTGGAATAAATTCAGCAGTTTCACGGTTCAATGTTACTTTGGGGGAGTCCTGAGGACAGTTAATGAGCCAAGTTGTCGTTTGCTCCTGTTTGGTGAGTGGAGGATGTAGAGAGGACCTGTGCTCCAAGTCATCCCTTAATAAGCTCCCAACACTAGAGACCCCCTCATTTTCTTCCTCAACCAACAGGTCAATCTCTCTCTCTTCAAGCTGAGCCTAATCTAATTTCTCTGGCTACTCTCTGTTTTCGCATTTCGATGTCAATATTTTTCTTCTCCATTTCTGCTTCATAATTTGCTAGCTCTAGTGCTTGCTCCGCCATGAGCTTTTTTAATTCTACGCTTCTCTTTAATTCCCTTAACCTTGAAGATCTTGAGGATCTCGATGCCTTTGACCCACTCGAGGCTAGTGGTGGTAATTTGGGTTCTTCATTGCAATTTTTCAAACTGCTACTCGAAGGGTGACGTACCAGGGGGGTAACCGGTCATTGGCTTCGTTCATGCATCGAGAATAATCATCACAAATCTTCAAGTAACACCTTTTAACACGTTCAAATTCTTCAATGGACAGGTTCTTTACAACATAACTTTGATAAGTGCTATCATAACGATTCCAAGCATGCTCAAGGTTCTTCACAATCTCACGAACCCCTTCAACTTCTCGCGACTCTGAGATACTTGTTTCAAATTGATTTATCAGTGTACTTACTCATAGCCACCGAGCGAGCGCCTTGCTTGGTAAATATCTTCGGCTTCAACATCTTCACGCTCTTTCGGATTCGGTTTTCTCGGTCTCCCAACAGCGCCTAAATCTTCGCTTTCTTCGGCATCCTGAAGGTGAAGTTCTTCAACAATTCCCACATGGGTTTCCACAGATGTTATCGACATTTCCACAGTTTCCACATTGTCGACCTGATCGCCACGTAAATTCTTCTCCGTGTCACGTTTATCCATTCTATCCCGGTCAATATCGAATGAAATGTAGTCGCGGAATACTCAGGTTTTTAATCACTTCACAAATATGCTGCCAACTGCCAAATCGTGATACAACAAAGTTCTGCTCACTGTCGATTCGCTGAAAATAGTAATGGGGCGACCATATTAATTGAAAGATGAAAGTAAATCGAAGGACAAAATAACGGTAAAGATTAACTTACATATGTGGCAGATTCCGGCTTAAGAATTAGCGACACGATGAAGAATTGTTCTACTAAAGTGCAATCAAAAATCTCAAAAAACAAACATGGCGACAGCTCCTCGTGCTCTCGTCGCACAATGCATTTTGGGACGCACCCAGTCTCTACACGGAACCAAATGTCAAAGTTAAAAACACAAAACTAGGGGTTTGGTGACAACAGCTTCCATTTGCACAATTTAAAATAAATGTTAGTTAAACAAGAACATTTCATTATCACACAGGTATGCTATATGTATTTTAAAGCAAATATTTTTTTGGAAATTTATAATTTTAGTGACTGTATGACGTGCAAGAGATCCCGAAAGACCCGATATGCTTCCTGTGATGAGCTCACAAAGAAAGGTAATAAGTGTTAAAGTAGCTTTACCCCTAAACAAATTATTTTCTCCAGACTCGACCTATAACCATACAACGAGACAGATTATTTTTCTCATAAATAACGTTACCCCATACCATGGAATGAGACATCAAGATGATAATAAAATTATTGATGTGGATCAACTCGATCAACTACTCGAGGATTCACTTGCTCACTAATGCCCAATTTATACGTCGCATTTCAGTCGCGTCGAATGTAATTCAGGCCGCAGAAACTCGCTGGTATTACTTGATTCGACTAAGGTTGCAATATACCATAGAAACAACGTGTTCAACTTTGCTATTTGTGTGTGTATCGTGCTGATTAATGTGATTTTAGCGAGTTTTCTGGGACTTGAATTCGACGCGACTGAAATTTGACGGATAAATTGGGCCCAACTAGCTCAGGCATTAAAGCAGCTATGTTATGATAAATCTATATTACTATTAACTAGTACTTATCTTGTTCTACTTGCGGTAGAACAAGGTGTACTTGTATAATTAAGTTTTTTACGATTTCTTTGGCTAACTTGTGACACTCATGTCATGACGTAATGAGTCATGTGATTCTTAGCAAAGAACGTGATAAAGCGCTACGATTTTCTACTTTCTACTTTACTATTTGTACGTCACTGATACACTGATTTTCTCTTCCTTGTGGTAAGATTCAAAATGGTTTGATTTAGTCACATGCGTGGCATAATCTATAGCACAACGGTGTAATAATAATCTCTTCTTTTCGAAAAACACTCTAAACGTTATCAAGAGAGGATGATCTAAGAGAAGGATTCCCGTGCCCAATGATAATTTTTTGAAATCTATTAATAGTTTCGCGCCATGCTGTGAAAGTTATTTTTATTTCCTTCTGATCGAGCCTCCGACATCACGTTACTCGAACTGACCAATCACAATTATCATTAGAAGAGACCCATGCGACGAAAGTTAACTTCTTGGCGATGATCAATAAATATGAAATATATAAAATAATTCATATATGTGAACTGCGGTGGAAAGAACGAAAGAGAATGAGATCTTCGCAATTATATTTCAACTTAAAAACAGTTGAAAAGGAGGCCTGAAAAAAGCAAATTCAGGCTCTAACGGGATACGAACCCATGACCTTTCCATCTCAGTGCAAACGCTCTACCACTGAGCTATGAAGCCATTGAGAGCTGGTCAATTGCGAGTTCTATATTACCCGTCAAGTGATAAAATGGAAATCGTTTTTATTTGTACTCAGATAAGAACTTAAAACCTAGATCCACTTCACCGGTAACATATTACATCTGATTGATGATCTTCGCCCATCGGAAACGGTGACAATCACAGCTTCAAATTACTGATCAGAATAGCCTCGATGTGTCTGAAAACTGACTTATAGAAACTTGTAAAATAGTTACTGAAAATCATACAAATACTCTAAATAAGGCCCGGGTCGCACTTGCGGACAAGTTTTGAAATGTCCCAACATTTTCAAAAAAATTGTCAGGACATGTTGTCAGAGACATCTTGTTGAGTAACAAAAGGTTTAGTTACTAGCACAATAGCTTTCCACGTGCTATAAACCTCTTGGGACATTCGTCAGCTGTCCTCTGCAAAACAACGACGTGAAATGACCAAATTCTGGGCTTTGGGGAGAACAGCTTTGTCCTTCACAACATTATTAAAATCATGAAGTTGGTTCGACCTGTAACGATTACCACAGAAAATTAATAGAAACAAACGAAAAAAACAATGCATTGTTATTCACATATTTTAAATCCAGTTTTGGTGGCGTAAACCATACTATACTTGCACACAGTCCTGGAGGCCGCGGTAAATTTGAATCAAATATATGGCAACACGTGCTGCAAAATGCAAATTTGTTATTCTCAGAGAAAAACACAATGGTTAATCAAGAAAGCATTGTTATCTGGAGTCGCCCGGTGCGTGGGGAAGTGGCTTGTCCAGCTCCAGGGCAGGACTACGGCGCCTTTGAAGTTTTGTCCGTTTTGACAAAATTTGTCCGACTCAACAAGCAGGTCGCACTTGTTTTGCAATTATTGTATCAAACAAATTTCAAAACGTGCACACGTGCGACGCGGGCCAATCATAGGACTGCATGCGACTTCTTTGTTATTTTATCTTTTTGGACAAGTTGTTCGTCCTGAAAACGTAGGTCGCACTCGTCTTTGCTATAATTGACGCTTAAAGTGAAGAAATCCACTAAATTAAGTTACCAAACTTGTCCGCAAGTGCGACCCGGGCCTAAGTTATATTATAACAAGTTATATTATAAAATTAATGATAATATGATCTAATTAGATATTAGAACTTGTGTCTTCAGGATGAGTGATGTTTCATTTCTTGACGTCTGCATCTGCAAACGAGACTATCATTTGTAACGTTGGACAGAAATGATGGTATGTATTAAGCATGGTAGAAACACAATGAGAAAGATATCCCAACAATCCAACAATAATCGATCGCATGATCTTCCACGCACATCGGTCGGATGTTCATAAAGTTGTTTCGAACGCTTTCTAACTTTTTTACAAGTTTTCATATATTGTTTTATTTCAGAAATTAGAATCTTCGAGTTCCCCTCATCCAATGTAGAAAAATTTCAAGAAAATGGCAGACCTTAGAGTTACTTTCCTGGCATCTGAATGGGGATCAAGTAAAGGAGGACTTTCTACCATAAACAGAGAGTTAGCTATAAACTTGGCGAAAGACCCTAAGGTATATGTCACTTTCTTTGTCCCGAGATGCAACGACGAGGACAAGCAAGCAGCTCTAAGTCACAATATTGATCTTGTTAAGGCAACATGGCGGCCTGGTTTCGCCGATGAACTTGAATTGCTTAACTTCCCACCGGATGATTTGAAAATTGACGTAGTTGTTGGTCATGGGGTCAAGCTCGGTCATCAAGCGCAAGTTATAAGGGAGTCTCACAAATGTAAATGGGTTCAAGTTGTTCATACAGCCCCAGAGGAACTTGGCATGTATAAGACATATTCGAATCCAATTTCAAATGCTCAGAAAAAGCATGAAACAGAAGTCGAACTTTGTAAAATGGCTGACTTTGTTGTAACAGTTGGACCCAAGTTGACGGAGGCTTTTCGCGCTTATCTTCGTGGATGTAAGAAAGATGACATGGTCTTTGAATTTACTCCTGGTATTTTGGCTGAGATTTCTGAAGTTGAACAGGTTGCTGATGAGAGAAACAAATTCCGCGTCCTTGTTTTTGGCCGTGGAGATGCTGAGGATTTTTCATTGAAAGGATTTGACATTGCAGCCAAAGCTGTTGCCGAGTTAAATAAATGTCATCTTATTTTCGTTGGTGCACCAGATGGAAAGGAAGAGGAGATAAAAAATCGTTTCCTCGACTGTGGCATCCTTGCTCAAAATCTAACTGTACGAAGCTATTTGGAAAGCCGGGAAAGTTTGAAAAACGTGCTTTGCGAAGCGGATCTTGTGCTAATGCCCTCAAGAACAGAGGGTTTTGGTCTAACAGGTCTTGAAGCCCTATCAGCAGGTCTGCCCGTTCTTGTAAGTGGAAACTCGGGGTTTGGAGAAGCGTTAAGTAAAGTACCATTTGGTTCTTCGTGTGTGATAAAGTCTGAGGAGGCAGAGGATGCCAAAGTATGGGCCAAAGCAATCAAGGATGTCTGGGGCAAAGACAGGATAATGCGACTTCAGGAGTCTGAAGCATTGAGTACGTCATACGAGAAGAAGTACAGTTGGGAAAAGCAAAGTAAAGATCTCATTGACAAGATGGTCAGCATGACTCATGGTATGAATGTTTTAAATAGCAACATTGGTCACTTACAGACCGGCTGTCAATGACAACTGTGTATTAATTTGTTTTCCTTTTAGTTGGGCATCTAATAGATGTAAGCTGATATTAGCATATTAAGCTTGAACGACTCCACGTTTTGTACAATCGTATCTTGCCTCTGTGCTGTGATATCAAATAGTCATTGTTGATGGTTCTCTTGTGGTTGTCTGTCAATATCAAACATCGAATGACTCTAATCTAGTTTGTTTTTAGCTGGCTTGACAAAATAGGTGGTATTGTCACCGTCTAAACCACACAATCGTACTAACGATCAGTATGATCAGTATGATAAGTTTATTCTTTAATTAAATTTATCATGGTTTCACTGAATAGCGAAGTAAACCACACTTCGTCGTGAAGACCTTGTAAAGAAAATTGTGTTACAATTCTGGAGCATGTAGAGTCACGTGTAGTTCACTGGGTCAACCAGATAGTGGCGCTATCGGATCCTACCAATTTTCCAGTTGAAAACCTGACGGTCCTGAGGTATGAAGTGATAATTCAAAAACGAGTGCGAGCGTTTCATTGGGTTTCTAAACACGAGATAGACTAGTCATTTGGACACTGAATTGGTATTGATTAGCACTATTTGTTCGAGTTGTGCTAAAAACGTTCCGTGGTGCTTGTTACGACATTTTGCCTGCATTCATTACGTAGAGCTTCGCAAACAAACCACATTTTCGTTAAGCGTCCGGTCGAGTATCAATGCCGGCGCGACTGCTTACTGCGGAGTTTTCGTTTGAAGAAAGAGTTCAACATTTGAGCCTACTGGGAAAGGAGACAGCTGTCTAGTTATAGCACTATACTGATACGGGATAAAGGTAAATTTGAAAAGTTTTAAAGCCGAAATGAAAGTACAAATTACGAGATAAATGTTTGAGGTGCGAATAATGAGAGGGCGTCAAGGTCTTATCTATCAACTTTATTCAGATAACAATTGTGCTTTATTTTTGTAACCGAAGCAAGCTTGGGGTTTTTTTCAGCTAGGAAGACATAATTTTGTATTGAATAAAAGCATACATGTTCACTGAGTATTGTTTAGAGCTAAAAAGGCATTATTCATGTTCTAATTGTTGTTTTGGTTTATGAATATGTAGACTCGTTAAGAAACATTTAGCACACGTGTTTCAACTAGTACTGAGTTGAAACACATGTAGTTTTCAACCGGTGTTTCATTTGGTTTCTAAACTCATCCGCCTGACTAGAATGGGGAGCTCTGGTTGGCTAACTACATCATGCATAATTAATGAGTTTGAGAATATCTGTGCACACACATTTTCCTAGACATCTTCTCTCTTCATCCCTTCTTTCCTTTTTTTAACCCTACCTGAAAGGGGTGCAGAAGAGAGAGTTTCAAGCCATCATGGACAAGTAAGATGTCATGTTTTCTTTTGACAGATGCTTTTGTAGATTGTCACAGTTCAACAAAAAGAAGAAAATTGCCGACTCAGCCAATGGAAGTCACGACTGAGTATCATCCAGGTATCGTACCTTCTGAGTGCACGGTTTGTAATTAAATTTATTCTGGTAACTGAAATACTGACTTACAGCATTAGAATTGTAGGTAAATTAACAAATTGCCGATAAGTGAAATTCTAGGAATACTTTGAGACTTTGAAGAATTGAATACACCAGCAAACTGAAAGTGGGGCGGACTATTTAATTAAATTTAAAACATAGACTGGAAAATGCGCGCGCTCTGATTGGTTAAAAACCATGTTTTATCAGAGTATAAATCATAGAAAAGCCGTGTTTTATCGTTTCGCGCGCGTTAAATCTATATTTTAAAGCACATAAAGAAGCCAAAACCATGTATTATACTGTCATAAAACACTCCGGGAGTTTGAGAACACTTGAGAAATTTAGAAAACACTCGCCTGCGGCTCGTGTTTTCTAAATTTCTCTCGTGTTCTCAAATTCCCGTCGTGTTTTATGACAGTATAATACATGGTTTTGGCTTCTTTATTTGTTAATCATGCGATAAATTTTCAACTTGAAACTTTGTATTACGCACAAAGGAATAATACCCACAAACTACCACCAGCATTTGTCAACGGTCAGCTACAAAGGAAAAATTCTACAAAATAATACAACAATAAAGAATTTGAGGCCGTATAACCATTATGTAAGCTTTTATGGATTGGATTGGATGGATTATTACAAAAAAAATACTGGGCCCCGAATGGCGCCACCTAGAGCATGAGCATACCATTACCAAACACGTTGATGAATGTACATTGACTTCAAGCTGAATTGTCTTTCGCTCGGTAAATGCACAGCTAGCGGTGCAGGGTGTGACAGTTGCGTGACAAGTTACATGTTTCTTCCATGTTCTCGTAGGTAT